TGGGCCTATCCTAATTACACTGTGGACTAGGATCAAAGCTTTTTTCATGCTATGGTAATTCAAATCCCATATTTTCTTGATATTTCTAATAAAATTCCAGTCTCAAAAGGGAAGTAGTCTGGATTATGCGTACTGTTTATATTCTATTCAAAGACTGGTGAAAAAATTCCTTATGAAGCTGAAGTGAAAGAAACCAAGCTGTTTACTTTTTGTAAAACTCTTTAGGAGGAATAGATGTGTTAAATAGGTTGTTCAGATCACAAACAGTTGTAAAGGAAGGAAGGTGAGAAAAAAGTAAGGATTAAGTGGAAAAGTAAGGATATAATTTTAAATTTGTAGCAGGGTAGTGAAAGAAATAAAGGCTATACATGGCGTCCAAAAAATCCCTGCAGGCTGAACTGCTGGGAGGATCAGTGTGTAGGACAGAAAGGAATCAAACTGGAAATGAAGTTGTGGCCACTGCACACATATTTACAGAGAAGAGCCTATCTGGTATAAGTTGCTAACTACTTTGGATTAGATTCTCTTCACTACAATTTCACTTATTTTAATCATTTGACATACAAATTTCAGCATTGTACCAGCTTCAAAGTGTAATGTCATGTCAGTAAGAAAAGGCTTTTTTTTTTTTTTTTCCCAAAAATTGTCATGGTAGATTCTACCAGAATAAAAAGAAATCCAATGACCGTTCATTAGTCCACATACTTTGGATGAGGAACTCAGCACATCTGATTTGATTCAAACCTATTCAAATCCTTTACAGAATGAAAACTACATGTGCTCTAGGACAAGCAGAGAGTTTTTACAGAAAACACTCCTGAGGTGCCACTCGTACAAAGCACGCACCAAAATAAAGTCAGTAGAACTTCCCATTAGGTACCCACCCAGGCAACAGTTCTGGAAACCTGAAAATTTCACCAATTTTGTTCTCTGACTGTTAAATTTATCTAGATCCAGACTGTATGGAAAAGGAAGATGCAGAGGAGACATGAGCTATAAAAAGCTTCTCTTAAAAAGAGGACTACACTGGCTCAAGCTTTTCAGAAAGGGATGAAGAGGTATGGTGATGAGCCAAAGTGATACTTGGTAGTTGGGAAGACATGAAGAAGCAGCAAAACTTAACTACAGAGCCTCTAATATCTTTGCTCAGCCATAAATTATTTGCAAGTTGAAAATTCCATGATCTGCAGAGGGGCTATTTTGAACTAAGAACAAGTTACATTATGAAAGAGACGAAGGGGAAGGAAGGCAAAATGGAATTCAAGAGGAAAAAAAAAACGAGTAGTGAGATGAAAAGAAAGAATAATCTGAACAAAGAGTAAAATGGAATATAACTTACCAGAGGATCTGGCAATGGGTGGGAGAATCTGAAAAATGACACTGCAAAAAGAAAGCAATGATTACTAGGCTACAAGTTTGAGATGAAGATTGCTGGTGACTAACATCTGTGGGGACTGGAATGAGAAACCTGAAGGCAGCACTTTTTGGTTGGAAGGTTGAGGAGGATGAAAAGCTTGAATTAGAAGAAGGCATGAAAAATGTACGTTGAGATCTACAATTTTTGCTCTTCCTCTGTTGACAAACAGTTGTGGAATAACCACTACATCTCACATACCCATTCACATAAACAAGTGTGCTGAAAACCTGTGCTGGTATCCAAATTGTCACGACAGTCTATTTTTCTTCTCTAAGAAGAACGGATTCCACACACTACATCTAAATATGTGGAAAAAAGTTAAGCTTAATCAGACAAGCACTGGGAAAACACAACAGTAAATCCAGAATTGAGAAAGTCAGTACTTTAATTTCTCCTCGTATAGCATGTACATTATAACAGCATTATATCATTACAAGCAGTTTTTTCCATTTGGAAATTTTTCCCACTTTAATGTTATAGTGTTAGTAATGTATGTTTAAGCACAGGAAATGCTACTACAAGACTATTTTTCCTATGAAGTTTAGAAAATGTATAATCAAACAATGAAATTGATGGTGGAAAATGAGAAAAATCAAAGCTGCATTGCTGTCAAAGTGTTAAAAAAAATCAGACTCCTTTGTACCCAGAAAAAGCTTGAAGCCCTAAGAGAAGAAAATAGGAGAACACTTCTGTTCCTACTGACCTCAAGAGATTAAGGACCAGGCTGTACCCCTGTGCAGGCACAACTTCCATTACTTTCAGCTGAAACAACATGAAACTTAAGGAAGAACTGCATCTTGTGCATAGGCAAGCCATTGCATTAGAAGCACATGCAGTATATAGAATCATCAGTGCATTTTGCAAGTACCTAACAATGTTGTACAAACTGAAACACCTATGGTCTCTGCCTTGAAAACCTGCCTATCCTGAATACTGAGAAACAGTGATGGAGGCAGTCTGCAATCAAAGTTTGGCTATTCTGTTTAGAGCCAGACTGTTTTACTTTAAATTGCCTTTTGCTGAAGGTTAGAAATTAATCTCTGCTGCAGCATGACTTGTTTTCTTTTTAATTTGTAAGATTGTAAGAGTTAAAGTAATTCAAGCAGAATTTACATAAACAATTATTCTCTCAAATAGTTTGAAAAATATTGTAGATATGTATCACTATTCGGTAACACACTTTATTGGTGATTACTTCCTCTACATTGATAATGTTTCTTTTAATTCATTTCTACTTACTTGCCAAGACCACTGCTGAAAATACTAATAAAACACAAGAATACTCTTTTTGAAATGTTACCATCAACTTTTCTCTAAAATTTCATCTTGCCTTAACTGACAACTTTTTGCCACCCCAAGAATATGACACCACAACTGATTTATAAAATTGTCTTCTGACTTTATATCCTACTTTTTTAATACATTTAGACATTTACTCCTCTGACTTGAACACACTCTTCTGATTTTATTTTCATAGTGAAAACAGTAACATACACTTTTATACACTCATTCCCTTCGCTCCACCCACCCTTTGTTTCAGCTGCAATTATCAAGAAAGCAAAATGCTCCATTTGAGGGGCAAAGCCTAGGTTTTTCACCCCATCCTCAGTGAAAAAGAACTCAACTTCTTTATTTCAGGATTTCTTTCTTTCTTTTTTTTAAACAACCAATTAACATTTTGCTATTTATTTCAGTAACAATCTAATTCAATTTGAATGCTGGCAAATCTCACATTTTCCTTGCTATTGCTAACCTTTAAGCCACAAATTTCTCTTCACTTGTTGGTTGAAAACCTACTACTAACATCTTGTTTAAAGTCATCCCCTTTGCAGTTGTTTGGAATTATTCCTTATCATTGTTCTCCCCAAATAATAATAAATAAATCAATCCAATCTCTGCCCACATTGAGCTCCTAAACTAATTTCTTCTTCACTTTCCTGCAGACTATCCTTCTACAGTTGAAATGCTTATTTTCTGACCATTTATGGATTTGTGTTTTCATTTATTTTGAGTCCATATCAGTAAATCTAATGTTATAATAACATTAGTACATCTAATATTATATTCTCTTAGCAGAAGCTCTCTGAATATTGCTAATAGATGGACACCAACATACTTTTTCAGTAACTTAAATTCTGTAGGCATTTGCTCTATATGCTTCTGCTTTTCTTGTAACAGTGTAGAAAAGTATTAACGTCCTTGGGCCAAGAGCACTGAAACTTGACTCTGTGATGCAGGTGATACCAGAGAAATAGTGATCCTGGAACATCAATCATTTAGGGAATTAGCTGCTGAATCCAGCAGCCCAACAGAAGCAACGCTGCCATGTCTCCACATTCTGAGGTTCAGCCAGTAGCAAGCATGAGCATGTACTCCAAACTGGCAAAACCAAAAGCTTTGTATGTATACACAACTAACTATAAATACACACGTGGCCAGTCTCATAGATAACAGAGACACAAACACTCATGCAAAGATAGCACAAACAGTGTAATCCTGTCCTGCTCTCTGGTTCCAAACACCCAACAACAAACCTCGTACAACCCCAAATACTCTTCCTATGATGCATCCCATAACACACCCTACCCCCTCCCGGCAATAAACCCACCAGCCTGTGAGGTGACCCAGAGAGCTTCTGGCTCGCCTGTGGGACTAGGCATTCCCCCTGGGACAGCCCTGCCTGCCCACGTGCCCCTGGGCTCCTCTGCACGCCTGATGGGTTTAATCACACAACCCAACAAACTGTAAACAGAGATTAAGCATCGGTGTTGATATGCAGCCAGCTCAGCACGCTTAGATCTGCCACGGCAATCAATGTAATAGTAAGGCAGGGAGTAAACAGGAACAGCTCTAAATTAGTGCAACTGTGCAACTGCACAGGCACAGGGAATCAAATTAAAGATAATGGCACGCTTTGAAGCCTTTCCATAACCGTGATAAAAATAGACACAAGGAATTTCCAAAGGGGAACTCAGGCTCTTAGTTCTTCTGTTTCACCTGAGAGACAGAGCTGAACGTCCTTACCTTAGCAGGGCTCTTCTCCCCCTCCCTGCTTTCCTCTGCCATTACAGAGGACCTTCCCAGCAGCCCCAGGCTGCTGAATAACTCTTCCAGGAGCTCTGCTCCCGCTTCAGACTTCAGACCACCACGAAACCTGCGGCGTTCCCAACTCGTCCCAACCTCCCGTTCCACAGAACTAAGTGCCCTGGGGCCGCTTGTGCTCACAGCGTGGCGTTCCTGGGAGCTGTTCCATCGCAACGTCTCCACGTTGGCTCTGCTTAGGGAACACGAAGAGCTGTGGGACCGGGGTGACTCGGCCACGTGCCCAACCCGGGCTGCCCGCTATTATTTGTGCAGCAACACAGCTGCACTCATCCTGTACGGGGGAGAGGGCTGTGACAGGAATCCGGCTTTCCTCACCAACGGGTCGGTCACCCAGCACGCGCACAGCGCTCTATAAATAACAAAAATAGCCTCGCTGCCCACTGGCGGCTCTTAAAAATATCAGGACGCCCCTGCTAGGAAACCGCGCGTCGTGGTGACCTTGACGCACCGCCCTTCTTCCTCCCGCAGCCAGAGAGCGGGAGCCCCCAACGTATCAGCCCTCCGTTCCACACAGCCTCATTTGGGGGCACAGCCGCGCGGCGCCTGCGCGCCCCGAGGCGGCGGGAGGAGCGGGGGGAGCCGGGCGCCCACACACAGGCACGAATTACAACGGGATTTCCTTCCGAACGGACGCACGAGCGCATAGCAACGTTCTCCCCGCGGGAGGCCGCCCCTCGGCTCCGGGACCTCGCGTTTCGCTGGTACGGAGCGGGAGCGCCCCGCAGCGCGTCGAGTGACTCCCGCGAGGGGCGGGCGGGAGCGGTGCGGAGCGGCCCATCGCGCGCCGGGCCCAGGTGGGACCCCCGAGCGCATCCCGTCGTCGGCTTGGGGGACGTGCCGCCCTCCCGCGCGCCGCCGGGCATCGCGGAGCTCGCAGCACTGCGGCAGCACCGGCCCTCGGGTGGGAGGGATCGGGAGGGACCCGCGGAGCGCGGGCGGTGTAACTGGGGGGGCGGCCTCCCCCTCCGTGGCGGGAGCGGAGTGCGGCGGCCCGGGGAGGGGGCGGGGAAGATGACTTCATGCCGCCGGAGCGCCGTGAATTTAGGAGCGGCAGCTGCCGGCGCGATGTGGGGGTGAAGCGTTCGTGGGAGCTGCCGCCGGTTGAGGGAGACGCAGAGTCGGGCACGGTGCCGACGGGCCCGCGGCTCCGGGAGGGGAAGAAGGGCGGGAGGGAGGAAGATGCGCTGAGCCGGCCGCTGGGAAGGTGAGAGGGGACTGCCGGCGCGGGGGCGAGCGCTGCACGGTGGAGCGGCCGCGGTTCGGCACCCGGGCTGCTCCGAGCACTCGCCTGTGGGGAAAGCCTCCGCTCCTACGGCAGCAGGGCCGTCCGACGGAGCGCTACAGCGCTGCGTTTTATCTTTTGCCGCCGGGACGTGGCTCGGTGCCAGCTCCCTGCCCGCCGCTCGCTCTGCCCTTCGCGCAGCGCGAAAGGCCGTGGGGTTGCGACAGGTGCAGGGCCGCGCTGCGGGCTCGGCGGCGCTCCGCAAGTGGAGGGGAGACGTGTTGGGGGCAGGAAGGCTGCAGGGTCCATCGTGTCCTTGGGCTGCCTGGTTTTGGAGGTCGCTTTACAGGATACTGAAAGGGCCTGGGAGCTGGAGACCCAGACCTTATAGCGAGAAGGTTTATATAGGGTCTTTGGGGGCCTCTGTGCTCTCTGTTTTTCAGCTTCAATCAGCTAGTGTGTGTTTTGAAACAGAAATACCTGTGATACGTAAATGGTATTGTTTAGTAAATAGAAGAAACAACGGGTTGCTTTGCCATGGTGAGGCCTTACCTCTAGTACTGTGTTGCTGTGGGCACCTCAGTGCAGAAAGGACATTGAGGTGCTGGAGCAGGTCCAAAGAAGGGCAACAAGGCTTGTGAAGAGCTTGGAGAATGCGCCCTACAAGGAGTGACTGAGGGAACTGGGGCTGTTTAGTCTGGGAAAAAGGAGGCTCTTATTGCTCTCTTCCAATATCTGAAAGGTGCTTACAGCAAAAGCGGGGTTTGTCTCTTTTCACTGGAGACAGGTGAAAGGACGAGGGGAAACGGCCTGAAGTTGCATCAGGGTAAGTTTAGCTTGGATATCAGGAGGCACTTCTTTACAGAAAGGGCTGTTAAGCACTGGAGTAAGCTGGAGGTTGAATCACCATCCCTGGATGTGTTTAAAAACTGTTTGGATGTGGTGCTCGGGGGTATGATGGAGGGTTGTTAAAGCTGGAGTAGTATGGTCAGGTTGCAGTTGGACTCAATGATTTTTAAGGTCTTTTCCAACCTAAGTGATTCTATGATTCTAAGTGAAAAAATGAGAACACTTTAAACCATGTATCTCAGTCAATTGACTTGCACCCTCCTTGTGGAGTGTACACAGCAGTATGTTAAATGAGCACTCTTTCAGAGCAGAGCAGGAATGGAACAGCACTTGCTTGGCCTGAATCTGTTCGGCATTTTTGTTGTGTTATTTTTCTTTTCTTTCTTCTGCTCTGTAAAAGGTTGCTCTGAAGATGGCATGTCAGTATAGGAGGCTGGGGATGGCATGCGTAGGTAGATCATTAGAGTGAGCTCTGTCTGCATGGAGCAGTGGTTAAATAATGGCTGGCTCTGCATGCTTCAGTTTGGAACTGAAAATAGTGATTGTGCTTGTAGTGAGGGAAGGGTAAGGGTTTTTTTTTATTTTTCCTTACTGAAAAGTGGAAATGAGATACTAGAACCTGAATGTTATTTTATTGGGTATCTATTTACTTACACGCTTGTTGTAAAGGATACCATTATCCTGTGTGCTTATTGAGCAAGCTCGTGTAATTGCAGTTGTGGTTCCTTGGTTGTGGCTGAAGGCCCTGGGCATGGTGCTGATGATAAAAATAATACGTAAGGAGGTAACTGGCAGTTGCTTGATCTGTTGCCATTATTTCTGGGAAGATGTTTAAATACATCTGTTTGTCTCAGTACTGTTGCTGGGTAGGCAGAAGGCTGATGATTACAGAGACAGGAAATGCATATAAAAGACAATTGAGGCTTCACAAGGAAGAAACACAAGGAAGAAACAAAGAGTGACTGGTGAACTGCAGTGTCAGAAAATTAGTTCAACAGATGGATTTTTTGTCTGTAGACCAGTCATTAAGTATGGCCCATGCAAGTTATTCTAGCCATTAACTATGGCCTTATATAAACCCTATTTAAGCACTCTGTGGTGTATCCAATGTATACCTTTCAAACCCGGGAAAGTGATGTCCAGTTCCATCAAATGTGTATCTGTTACTTACCAAGCACTTACATTTTTTCTTATAAAACAGTTGGGAGCCTGAATTATCACGCATCTGTTGTTGTTTTTGTTTTGGTTTCTTTGGGTTTTTTTGTTTGTTTGTTTTCTGGCGAGGGAAAGAGTATGATTGTGTGTCTCAGCAATTGCACTATAGCAGTCGTTGGTTGATTTCTCCTGTAATTGCCTCTGGCTGGAGAAAGAAATGTATGAGAAAGAAATTGTATGAGTTCAGATACGTGTCATGTTAGTCCACCCGTTCCATACTGAGCCCATTCCTTTCTTGAAGAAAACGTCAAGTAATGGTTTCCCATTCTGTTGCTGTAAATGTAGAGTAGCATGAGTTCTTGCTAATGTTGACAAAACATTAGCAGGGTAAGTATAGCTATTTGTGCTTCCTGGCAAATGTAAATAATGATTCAAAAGAATGTTGATGCTTTCTAAAATAATGTGGAGGCAGGGAGGAAGGAATGGTTGATCAAGAGTCGTTACCATAGAACATCTGGTTGGTTTAACACTGAAAACTTGAATTGCTTCTGTTTTTATCTTATGTGTACACTGAAGACAGATGGTGTAATCATGCCAAATGGAAGGGTGCATGTGTCCATAGACAGGGGAAAAAGTTTGTGTATAATGATCAGTGTCAATTTAGTTAATTTAGTTGAACGCTGTCGCTGATGTAAATTCATTTCTCTTTCTGAGCTCCTTTTCCACCTTCTGTTACAATAACTTCCATCCCTCTGCCAAGCAAAGAAAACAGTCTGTGTTGCAGTTAATCTGGGGCAGGAACCCTGCTGCCTGGCAGAACAGTCCAGTTGGCCAGCTGGTTGGTGCTGGGCAGACTGAGTAGCAGCTGAGAATTAGTTGCCTTTCTCTCTGAGGGCCTGCTAGTTTAAATTTCTTCATCTAGATTAGTTCTGTGAAATTGTAGGAGTTCAATTATCTTTCAGATTTCTAAGCTATAGCCAGGCCTCTGAACCAGCGTGTTCATTTAACCGAATTTATGGGCAGGGGTCAGGCAAATAGATTTGCATGAAGCTTGTTTCCTTAGGAGAACAATGTGGAAAACCCAGTAACCCTGAATGCAATTGAAAGAACAACAGTTTGATTTTCTTGTGATCCTTTGCGAGGCTGAAATGAAACAGTTCAGCTAATAAATTTGTCTTAATGGGAGAATGTCTGAAGGTGATGTTTCTAAACGCTGTTTGAACCAACCCAAATAACAGCCTTCCTTCCTGAGTAATGTTGTTATTAGGCTTGGAGTTGACGCATTTTCCCCAAACTAAGAATTCCTTATGGACTAGGATAAAAAGAGACTGCAATAGAATGTGAGTAGACAGGTATCTTATTTACAATGACATGCATACGCTTGACATAAGCAAACAGAATTTTAGCAGTAGTCTCCATAACAAAAAAAGTTTATATGCTTTCAAGTCATGTGATGCCCTTTATGTAACTGGCACTTCTAGGTGAGGAAAAACTTTCACTTTAGAACTAAATGCCAGCCATCAACTTATATTTCATCACTTACTACCCAGGTGAACCTTCTGTTGGACTCTTTAATTGTGGTCAGAACAAAATCTTTAGTCAGTCAAGTGCAGAACTAACAACTGTTAGAAGTAAGTTGTATTCATCCCTAATCTGAAGGCTGCTCCAAAAGTAATGCCTTTTGTTTTACTGTGTTGGCCGTGTCATCAGAGGCGGCTCAGTAGAGGCTGAACCTTCCCTCCCGTTATACTTTGTTGCTGCACGACAGATGGCAGCAGAGGGGCGGTCTGACACAATGGCATCTGTCATGAAAATGAGTGTGAAACAAAGGGCTGTAATTAAAGTCCTCCATGTACAAAAAATTGCAACCACTGACATTCGTTAACACTTGCTGAATGTTTATGGAGACCAAACAGCGGGTGTGAGTGCAGTGAGGTGGTGGGTGGTGCGTTTCAGCAGTGGTGACAGCAGCGTGAAAGGCAAACCATGTTCTGGATGGCCATGCAGATCTTTGCATAGCTAATGGTGATGGCTGTGCTGAAAAGCAGTGTTTTGTAGCTGAGAATTTTTTCTATCCAAATAGCATTATTGTGCTCTTTGTATCTGTTGTGGTTTCCATGGAAATAAATAGGAGATATTACTTTCATGGCAACCTATGCATATCAGCAGTGGAAAAAAGACAGGCTTTAAATACTTTTGTGTATACACCTAATGTAATAATACATGCGCGCTTCACAGCCCAGATTCTAAGGACACAGATTTAGTATCTGAAGCATAGAGATACAAGAACAGAGTTTGTGTATGCTTTTGGGGAAGGCAATTTGGTTGAAGTTTCTCTCTCGAAGAGAGACAACACAAGCATGCATTTGTTCATATTAATTTCATGATGCATTGAGAGACTAGTGTCAAGAAAGTCTTCTGGTTTATACTGTTACAGAATTACTCTATTTTCTAAGCATTATTAAAATGAATGTT